CTTTGCTCTTGTATATTGTGTGGGATAGTTTGCTTTCTTCGAGGCAATGGTATCTGTTCTTGATCTGAAGACAATGCTCTTGAGATCTGCTGGGCAGTTATCGAACTTGTAAGTTTCTCTGACTTTATGACTTCAGAAAAATGCTAGTTCAGCGCCTGCTAGGGCAATCTCTTGTTGCTAAAACAGGTCAGGGTGCTCCCGTTTAAAGGCAAGTTGATTGCCCAGACGTGTAGGCACTATTATGGAGCCAATTGGGGTGAGGCAGTGAAAGTGTTGGGTGATCGCAAGGGCAGGTCAATCACTTGGAGGACCTTGCTCAAACCTCTGCTGTCTCAGTGTGTTCACGACGGGGGTCCTAACTAATATTCCTGCTGTCTGTTTCCTACCCAGTGGTTTTCTCAGTGTTCTCTGCCTGGTGGCACTTATGCAGGTGCCCTCACACAATAGCCCCTGCTCCAGCAGGGTCCTGGATCCAACGGGATCCGAAAAGTCAGGGTCAAATTCCCACCCACCCACTAGCCTCTAGCTGGTCTGCAGAGTTCACAGAAGCCAGCTGGCTGGCTCGTTTTGGGCAGTTGGTGTAGCCCAAGAGAGCTTGGTCAAATTCCCCACCTGTGGGCGCGCCCTGAGGTGCTCTCCTGGGTAATCAGCAATGCCCCAGTAAACACAGATAAGATCTTACTGGCCTTTCTCCTGCCAGGTTATTTCCTCAACAGCTCCCCTGATAGCTCCGGGTGATGGCTGCTTCCAAGGTGGTGCCCTGACGTCACAGGGCTGTGGTGGGGGGTCGAGATGTGTGGTTGTGGAGCTGCAAGGGGGGTGGGGAAGGGAAGGAAAGCAAGGGACTAGGGGGTAAGGAGCGCAGGGCTTGGACACTATCACCAAGAGGTGGGGGTGGGGCTTGGGCGCTGCTGGGGGTTTATGCAGCAGCACCCCTTGTGTTAAGGGTCACACAGGTGTGGGTTGCAGGGGGGTCACACAGTGTCGGGTAGTCTTCGTTCCTCTGGGGTCTCACAGTCTTTGCTCCTCTGGAGTTCCGCATAGGTGGCTGGCTGTTGTTCTTCCCCGGCCCTTCTCGCGGTGGAACCCTGTCTGGCAGCGGCATTCTCCCGTCTGGCGGTGGTGTTCTCCGGTTTGGTGGCGGCTTTCTCGCACTGCGTCACCCTCGCTGGCGCTGCATCACTCTCTAATATTACATTTTAGTATCAAGAAAATTAAAACCCTCACCACTTGGTCAAAAGGTATCATCATGATAGAGAAAAGATTGAAATTGTTAATGATTTCATTGTACTTGGATCCACAATCAACACCCTTGGTACCAGCAGTCAAGAAATCAAAAGAAGTATGATGTTGGGAATGTTTTTTGTCAGGGAACTCTCCAAATTGCTGAGGAGTAAGGATGTAAGTTTAAAGACTAAGGCATACTTGATTTAGACAATTACTTTTTTCAATCACTTGTTAAGTATTTGAGAGCCGGCTAATGAGTAAAGATGATAGAAGAATTGAAACCTTTGACCTGTGGTACTAGAGAAGAATACTGAATATCTCATGGACTGCCAAAAACCCAAACAACTATATCTTGGAGAAAGTGCAACCAGTGTGTTCTTTGGAAGCAACGATGGTGGAATTTTCTCTCACATACTTAAGACATACTGTTAGAACGGGGTCAGTCCTTGGAGAAGGATATCATGTTTGGAAAAGTGGAGGGTCAGCATAGTAGAGGTAGATCCTCAATAAGATATAGTCCAAAGATGACTCTAACAATGGGCTCGAGTATATTGGAGATGGCAAACATGACACAGGACAGGGCCATGTTCAGATCTGTTGTTCATAGGATTGCTTTGAGTCACTGCTGACCACCATCAGGAGGATAACAAATGTGTCTCATCTAGGTTCTTGTGCATACTGAGCAGAGTAACCCTATGACACAACAGCAGCACGTCGGCGACTTCTGTTGTAAAATGCAGAAGGCAGACAGCGTATGAGGCCATCACTCAGTGTCAAGCGGTCATCGAAGCCTCCACATTTAAGTGTAGGTCATGGTAACATTCGCCGGAGTTACCTAATTCAAGGTTGAACAGCCACACGGAGTGGAGCCTGCTGCGTGCTGAGTGTCGGCTGGCCTGGAAAGGAGCCTTCCTCCCGGCCATCCTTTCTGGTGCTCCAGACAGGAAGCTGAGATCCCCACCTATGATGTATTCCCTCTCCTGAAACACCTGCATCCAGACAGCTAGCCACCCGCTGGACTTTGATGAGCATGGTTAAAGAAGTAGGCTGAACACTAAGCCCTGTGAGTGGAGCTATGTAAGAGGCAGGGTGGGTCTGAGCTCGGATGCGCGGCGGGGCGCTGTGCGCAGAGTGGGGCTAAACTAGTACTGGGTTAGGGTAGAACTTTGGCCTCTTCTGGGTGGCGATGTGCGCGGGGCAGGGCGGGCCAGGGCCGGGCCTAGGCAGAGTTTAGGATGCCGCCGGGTGGCCCTTCACCAGCAGGGCAAGTTGGGTTCAGCTTGGTTGCGCCAGGTGGCGCTGTGAGCGACGTGGTGCAGGGCGGAGCCGAGGTGGGACGGCCCCAGATGACGTTATGCGCGGGGCTGGGGCTGAGCTCAGCCTGCGCTGGGTGGTGCTGTGCCGCGGCGCCGGAAGGGGCCAAGGCTGATCGGGCCGGTGCCGTGTGGGCGGAGGCACGGTCAAGCTGCAGCTCCGCCCCCGCGCGAGAGGGCCTTCACAGACAGCTGGGAGGCGGGAGGCGCGGGAGGCGGGCGCGCAGGCAAATTTGGCTGGAGGGACTCAAGGGCAGTAACGCTCATCGGAGTTGAGGTCCTGTAACTTCGGTTGCCGCCGGCGACCTCCTCCAGCATCCCCCTAACCCCGATCCCCAGCCGGTGGGGGCTAGGCGTCACCAAGCCCCACCGAAGCAGCGATGAAACCGTGCCAGGAAGACGGGGCGGATGCAGCTGCGGGAGACCCCTGGAAGGAGTGTTTCGAGGCGGCCGTGCAGCTGGCGCTCCGAGCCGGGCAGGTATGCCCCCTTTCTGCCCTCGCCCCCACTCCGTCCCCCTCTCCCCCGAGCACCGTGCAGTGTCCCAGCCCAACCCTGTATTTCCTCCCGCGTCCACTGGAGCGGCCAGGCCAGATCACACCTGTCGGGGACTTTCTGAAGTTTGAAGGAAAGACGAGCTGTTCTTGCGAAAATCAGAGAAACTCAAGAGAGGTGCGGGGCTGGCGGTGCCGTGCGGGGCGCAGCCGGGTGCGGCCTGGGGCTCCAGGTGCTCTGAGACCGCGTGCCACAGCGTCAGAGCCCCGGGCAGGTGTGGGTGTGAGCCTGTGAAAGGAGCTCTTTGTGCTGTTTCCAGGACAAACCACTCCTGTACCTAACTTTAGCCCCAAGGAGCTAAGGGCGGGGATCACCTGCTTTGTGTCCCCCTTTCTCAGTGGTGGACGCAGCCACCACTAAAACGTATCAGGCACAGACTCTTCCTTAGGGCAGTTAGATTGCAAATGGTTACCTGACCTTTGCATTTGAGAGTGAGTTAGATTGTATCAAAGATGCAAGTCCCTCTGAGAAGTTTAAAAATTCCATCCAAAGCCACTGTTTAGTTTTGACCTGAAGGTATTGCCGCTGATTGTCATTCCTTGAGCTTGCAGAGCTCGTACTTATTCAGATTGCATACTGTGATCAGCACCGTGTTCTCCACAGGTGACCACGGAGGGGCAGGACTTTACTACCATTTTTTACATGTATTTAAAATTGTCAGGGAGGAGATTGCTGAGCTTTCTCCCATTGAGCAGCTTGTGGATTTGAACCGCATGCCTTAGGGTTGGAAACACAACTAATGTTAAGAGCTCCTGTGTGGTAGTTACCAGTCTGTGTTCAGGCTGTGACTAAATGGGTACTTGCCCTCTCAGGGTTTTACAGCAGTGTTGAGTTGGTAAGAAGACATTCTCTGTACTTTGTTTGAAGGCACGTAATTGGATTTTTGTAGGAGATGAACATGGCCAGAAGGAATGATGTGGACAGATTGACTTTTAAAATATTAAGACAGCATCATCTTTTTTTCTTTTCTTTCAGGTCTAACAGTCTGAAAAGGCTGTGCAAGTTTTCCCTACATGTTAAAGTCATGTTCTTATCGATCTTACTTGTGTTTTAACACCCAAGTGTGCTTTACCTTGAAGGGACTCCTCTGAGAACTTTTGCCTGAAGTTTGCTTTGACCTTCTGTGGTCTCGTTGTGTTAGAGTGTCACTGTGTTTCTGAGGAGTCATGGCTGGTTTGTCAGAAATAGATCTTCAGATGTTCTTCCCCAGGTGCCTTGCAGTGCCTCCAAGCTTTTAGTTAATAGGTGAACGTTCTAACTTTTTATATTATCGGAGAACTCTATGACTTCATGTGCAGGCCCCCTAAAAATTAACCTTTAGTGTAACCTTCTTTGTTTTAAGAACTGAAAACAATGCCTTTAAAGACCTTATGACTTAGAAGAAGTGTTGTGAAATGTCACCCTTTGCCTCCATCACCTTTCCCACCAGAGTTCCCTCATAGGAGTCAGTCAACAATATAGGCTGTTAGCATGGGCTTCTGTTCTCCCTTCCCCTCATCCACCTCACATCCTGTCCAGAGAAGACATCATCGAGGTGCTTAAGAACTTTAGATCCCACCTTACAAATTTTCTTCCTGGAGTCTTTGAGAAGAAGCCAGCTCAGGAACTAGAAGCTAATGTATGAAACTTCAAATGAGTTATAAAGGTTATCTATGGCTCTTCAAATTTAGATACATGAAGAAACAGAGTGTAGTACAATTTACTTGAACTCATGTATGGAACTTTGAATATGGCAGGCACAATTCTGTCTTAAAAATTTCAACCTATTTAAGAGACATTTCATGTATTCGCAAACTGTCAACAACAAAAAAGCTTTTTTTTGAAACAGGAGGAGTGAACTAAAGATTCTGCCATTAGAAGTCTGGTCAGGAAGCCCAGGGCTGTGAGTTTCTCTTCAGTATTGTGCATATATTTCTTGCCTACTGGACAGTAGGTGAGAGAAAGTTCTGTAGCTGGAGAAACAGAAGCCATAAGAGGTCACTATAACATGGAGTAGAGGTCTTAATGCTCTTATGATAATCAAGGTGTAAACTGAAGTAAATGTGGGCTGTAGCTAGGTAGTAGCCCAGTGAGCAAGGAAAGGGTGGTTCGTAGTGGTCAGTTTTTTGAGCCCTCCTCAGTAAAGTACTGCTTGGTACAGTTTGCATTGCTTTGTGGTCAAATACTTGATCCTCACCAGTGCCCAATGACCTACTGTCTTAAACTATTTGCTTTCCTGAGTCTGTTATCTACATGCTAAAAAGTAATGGGCTCAAAGGGGTAGACTTGTCAAGAGATAAGCATCAACTGCCCTTGAGCCTTCAGCTGTTGGTTCAGGTCAGGGTAGTACAGACAATTAATTACCATTTCCCCCTTTTCCTTGTGGTAAAAGCTTCTACTGTCCCTTATAATGCTGCTCTCTCAAAAAGGGCTTCCATGGTTACTCTCTCCCCTTCCATTCAGTCCACTCCACCCCACTATGTTTTCAGTGACTCTGAAAGTCTTCACTTCCCTTTGAGTCCCTACTGCTTTTGCAGCTTTAGGTCACCATTAGAAAGCTCTCTTTGTCTTGCAAGTTTTTGTGTTTTGTGCTCTAGTCCTCCAGCAAGCTTGGGTAAAGGCTATGGCTCTGGCTTCTTTCATGGCAGTCCCAGGTCAGCTCTGCTTTTGTAGTCTTTGCTTGTCTGATGCTGCTGTTGTCCTGTCTTGGTCACAGTCTGACTCTGGCTCCAAAAGATGCTTGCTGCATTCTCTGCTATTCCTACTAACAGCAAGATTCCTATGTTCTGTCTCTAAATCAGCTCAATTAAGCCTGATGGGATGGTAAATCTGGCCAGTCACCTCATTAGTGTTCTACACACCCTATTTGCATTTTCTCACCCAGCCGCGTGGCAAAAGTCAAATGCAATGACCTATGAAAGCTATTTTGAACAATAAATCCACTTTGTCACACTGGCAGAACTAAGGAGCTTCCTAACACTTGCACAAGCAAGACAGATGACAGCCTTGCCTAGAGCCGACTCCTTGGCTTTTGAATTTTTAGATGTCTGAGTGATGGAGGCTTTCACTTATATATGCCAAGAAACTTTTCAACCTGTATGCAGAACAGATCATCCAGGAAGCTTGGCTCTATGAGGAGAAATGCGGCATCAGGATTGGTGGAAGATCTATCAACAATCTGCGTTATGCAGATGACACAACCCTGCTTGCTGAAACTGAGGAGGACCTGAAGCGTTTGCTGCTGAGGGTCAGGGACTGCAGCCTTCAATATGGATTGAGGCTCAATGTCAAGAAGACCAAGATTCTCACCACTGGACCAATTGGCAGCATCAGGATGGATGGTGAAGAGATTGAGATTATTTACAGCTTTAGTCTGCTTGGCTCCACAATCAACACTCTTGGCACCAGCAGCCAGGAAATTAAAAGACGTATTGCGATGGAAAAGTCTGCTGTTAGGGACCTCTCTAAAGTACTGAAGAGAAGGAGTGTCTCTCTGGAGACTAAGGTGCGTCTGATACAGGCCATGGTCTTTGCAATCACTTGTTATGCGGCAGAGAGCTGGACAATGACCAGGGAGAACAGAAAGAGAATTGATGCTTTTGAGCTTTGGTGTTGGAGAAGAGTGATGAGGGTACCATGGACTGTTAAGAAAACAAACAGATTCCTCCTGGAAAGGGTTAAACCTGGCTGCTCCTTGGAGGCAAGGATTCTGAAACTTCGTCTAACATACTTTGGTCATGTTGTAAGGAGGTCCTTGGAGAAGGACATCATGCTCGGGAGGGTGGAGTGCAGGCGCAGGAGGGGAAGGCCCTCTGGGAGGTGGATTGATTCAGTGACTGGGGCAATTGAGATGAGTGTGTTGGAGACAATGAGATTGGCACAGAGCAGAGCAGGGTTTAGAGCTGTTGTACATAGGGTCACTATGAGTTGCAAGCAACTCGATGGCACATAACAACAACAATGCCAAGAAACTTGAAAGCCAACTGGGAAACAACAAATTTATGCCTACTTCAAAGAAAGATGATCCACATAATAGGTAATATATAAAACATCATCATTAATATCAAATGCAGGTAAAATCTTGCTGAAAGTATTTTTTAAACAGATGCAAAAGTACATTTGAGAGAACTGCCAGAAAGGCAAACCAGATTCAAAAGAGGATGTAGTAAATAAGGGATGTCGTTGCTTATGTAGGATGGACAGATGTCAGAGACTATCAGGAGATTCTTACTAGGTTTTTTATTGGCTACTCAAAGACATTCAGATATATGTATCAGAATATATTATGATAATATATAGTGCCCAATGACCTACTATCTTGGCCCAGTGGTAAGAATCTGGAACAATCCTGAAGGCACACAGTTCAAATCCACTAGCTGCTCCATGAGAGAAGGATACGAAATCTCTTCCCCTGCCATTACTGCCTCTGAAAACTCACAGGAGGGTCAGCTATGGGTCATCTCCAAGTCGATAGTATATAACAACAATAACATTAGAAAGAATTGGAATTTAATTATGCTTATAACATTAATAACAATGTGAAACCTATACATAGACTGAGACAGATGTTCAAACAGAACACAGGGTTATTGCATGGTTTTAAAATCTAAAATGCTATGCATTAAAGTTGTGTCTTGTTACCATGCTTCATTCTTACCACTAGACCAATAGGGAATAGATAGATCCATAATCAACACCCTCAATACCAGCAGTCAAGAAATCAAAAGACATATTGTGAGAACCAAGATGGTGGCAGTGGAGGAAATAGCGTAAGGAGCTGGAAGAGCGGCAAGCAGCATAGAAATGGGCCATCATAGAGACCGACGCAGCGTGATGTTGACAGTAGGAATTTGAGTCAGAACTTTTATTAAAATAATTAGTTTGGGAACTATAGGAGCAGCGAGCTGTGGGCCCTGGCAGAAGCCACCAGCCAAGCTGCTGTGGGA